CGAACGTACTAGCATCTTGCTTCTGGATGTCTCGAAGGTATTTGATAAGATATGGCACAAGGCCCTTCTCTATAAACTAATTCAAAAGAGCTTTCCATTTAACTCCTAAAACTTTTGAAATTCTTCCTTGAAGGTAGGAAATTTCGGATAGAAATTAATAATTTCTTGTCGACAATACGGAACATCAGAGCCGGTACCCTCAGGGTTCAGTTGTATGGCCAATCTTTTACCCACTTTTACGCATAATGTCCCTTGCCCTAACGACTGTAAAGTCTATCTATATGCTGATGACACTGCACTAATGGCCCAGTCGCGTACCGGAAATGTGGTTCACGACAGGTTACAAATTGCGGTGGATATTAGAATGGGCAGATCGGTGGATAATTAATTACTTGAAAACGCACGCTATCGTACTAAAAACCGTAGCGGCGCCTCGCCTGAGGTTTCAATGAATGGAGCCTGCTTACCATGAGGAAATTCTGCTAAATATCTCGGTGTCACTCTTGACAGAGAAATGACCTGACAGAATCACATTGAAGCGTTAAAAACTAAATTCCAAATTCCATTTCAGCACCTTTACCTTTTACTATGTAGAACCTCAAATTTAAGTTTGGTTAACAAAGTTTGGCTATATAAGATTATCATCAGACCATCAATCACTTACTCATGTGCAGCATGGTGTTTTCTTGCCAAAACGCACATGCGTAATCTGCAGGTTTTGCAGAACAGAACCTTACGAACCATCACTAACGCACCATGGTATATCTCCAACGACACCCTTCACACAGACCTCAACATCCCTTACCTAAGGGACTACATCAAACATCAGGCGCAATTACGTTATACTCAGACAGAATCACACAGCAACCCTCTGTTGCGTGAGTCAGTAGACTATACAATCAAGCAAGTTCACAAGCATACAAGACCGCAGCTCGCACTATGAGCAAAATCAAATCGTGCAATTTTAGACAACTTCCTAAATCAATTTTTGGATTAATTTAAAATAACCGAATACCAGTTAAGAATAGCAAGGCGTCCCTTAAACCGGCGCACTTCATCCTCTTTGCTCTTCTCCCTTCCTTCCTTTCTTTCTTCTTCCTTTCTTTCTTCCTGACTTCGTATGGTATCTGGACAATCAGATCTGATACACCTACTGACTCACGATACTTTAACAAAGAACAAAGGTCCTTCGGACCGCTCTGACGGACAATGACGAATAAAGGTTGAATTTTATTGTAAACTTCGTATATCATTTTTTTCCCTTTCAATCTTTGTTTCCTCAGATTGCACCTAAATCTAGATGTATGGGCATATGTATTCACTTTTTAAATTGCATATGTGTATTCCTTTCGGGTTTAATGAAGCCAGCAAACGGAAATACGTATCATTCGGGTTACCTATCATATTTTATAATCTAATCTGCTTTTCTTCTTTTGCGGATTTTACCCATTATTTTTTCTATTTGATATATACCTTTCTCCGCATAATTCTTTTCTCTTTTTAGATTTTTAGGACTTAAAATACCTCAGTAGGTAATTATAACCAATCACGTGGTTGTGATGACAGCTCGCATTGAAAAGTCAAGCTTTTCTAGCCATTTTATACTACATTGTATACGTTGGCTCTTGTTGTGGACTTATATATCATTTTTCCCCTATCCATCTTCGTTTCTTTAGGTTACACTCGCATCTGGATATATAAATATAGTTGTAGTCACCGTTGGTAATGGGTCAAAGTAAGAGTATCAATACCTCTTTATATATTCCCTATCTCCTTCATACATACACATGCAACTTTCTCCTGTATGTGAACATTTGTTCGATACACTCACAGACATACATTTTTTAATTTTGTGTCTCCGTCTCGAAAACTTTATAGTTATATATGCATATGCCCTTCAACCTATTTGACATCGATGTACAATTCAAGTTATCCTGTTATCAGTCTTCAATATAAAATTGTACAATGCCCGGAAATACGATCAATGGAGAAAACCGACAACTCATGCTAAATTTATTATAATGTTTCCATGAAAAAAATAAAAAAACACTCTCCTGTTACCCACTTCATATATATATATATACATATATATTCAATAAAACGCAAATAGCCATCTGTCACACTAAATCGACCATTGCGAAGAGCGAAGTAGTCAATTATGGTGTAATAGATAGCACACTCTTAATTCAATACACCATACGTTCGAAATAAAGAACAGTCACAATGTTTTCATTCATTATCCAGAAAGAAAAAACTATACCTAGGCCATGCTAATGTGTAGCCAAAAAGCACGAAACTACTATCCATCATTTTCTGGATTTTGTTCGACTGGACGAAAACATTATGTTTATTATATTTGTAATTTTATTTTTATTTCAGTATTGTTCCTGTAGCAATCACGCCACAAAGGACATGTACTAATAGTTCAGAGATTGTTAACCATCCAACAAATATATGGGCATTGTCACAACAAGACATTGAAGAAACTACCTCTTTGCTAACAATGAGTACTTCCACAAGGATGGAAATTGATATCCCATTACAACACATTGAACCGATAGAAACGTCATCCTTACCAACTTTAAACCAACAACAGAGTGATGACAATATCACTATGACAATGGGACACGATGAACTTAATGACATATTAGCTAACCTTAATATAGACAATTTACTAGAAAATACCAATAATATAATAACCGAAAATGTAACTGAAACTATTCATCGAAGAGGGAATCATTACATGGCGGCAACTAATCATTACACAGGTCTATATACATTGGGAACTTTCACTTTTACCTGTTCTCACTGTAGAGCCTTACATTTTTTATGTGAAAAAAATTCCAGAAATGTTTATTCAAATTGTTGTAAGGATGGTGCAGTACATCTGCCTCCATTTGATTCATATCCTGAACAATTAAGAGTACTATTTCAAGATCGAGAATTTATGGAAAACGTGCGTTATTATAACAATAGTTTCGCATTCGCCAGCCTAGCTACCAATACTATAAATCCGCCTGGTCGAGGACCTTATGTATTCAAGGTAAACAGTAAAAATAACATTATGTATGGATCAAAAATAAAATTCCACAATGTAACCTGACAAATCATATCTCAGATCGAATTCATTTTTTTTTTCTAAGCAGTACCTATGGAAGTGACTTTATAAAATTTTAAAGTCTTACAATGAACACTTTACTCTGGAACGGCACTCAAAATATAAATTTTTGACCAAAATGTAAATGTTAGTATGTTAACAATTTTTCTTTTTTTTTCTACTCCTTCCTGTCAATTCAAAGCAATATGTACAATAATATATAATCATCTAAATAGAATTATCCAACGAAGTCAAATATTACCTTCAAATTGCAATATAATTTATTCGACAAATAGTTTAAATAATTCTTCTAGAAATTTTTTACTGATTTATTATTAGCTAGACATTTAAAATAGCTTACAACATTAAACATTTACAAAATTAGTATAAACCTTAATTCTAAAAATTCTGAGCTATATCGGGTTCAATTTTATTACTCTATGGAACATGATTCTTTTTGAAAGTTTACGCTCTTAGGTCAAACGATTCACTTTGGACACACGTTTACAATCTCAAAACAGGTGTAGCAAGAAATTGAAGAATTGACAAAGTATTAAAATTTATATTTTGATTTACAAACGCATATCGTTACCCTAATTGTAATACCACGTATTATCTATTTTGTCGTTTTACAGAAAATGATAAAAACTGTTTTACGGCGGCCGTATATAATTTATTCTTATAAATTATGTAACGTCTTTCTACTTTTACGGTTAAAATATACTTAGTTATCATTTTTAAAGATTCCATATTTTTTTGTGAAAAATATGTTTGATGCATGTTATTGCACTTAACTGTTTGATGATGATACTTAGTGTTTAGGTTTATTATAATGAAAATAGATGTTTCATTATTCAAACAATATACCAAACAGGGCTTTATTGAACATTGTTGTTGAACAATATTTAAATGAAACTAATACAGAGATTTCAAAGGAAACAGTAGAAAAAGATGACAAGGATGTTTGTCTTCCTACTCATAAGGCAGGTTCTCATAGAAACTGTGTACTTCATCTGCTAGAGTAGATTTCAGATCTTGCAAATGGTCATATTTCTTGTTTGATATTTTTAATCCATCTATATAACGTCTTTGGTGGTGTATCATACATGACTTCTTTAAAATTCCTTGAGGTAGGTCGGTGAGCTCATCTTAAAACTGCAGATTAATTTGAATTTTGCCTTTTGATTGATAGTGGATCTCTCTTAAATTAGTTACTGTTGGGTCATGTGCTTTTTTTCCTGGACTGATACTATGATATACCATTTGGTCTTTAATATCATAATTTCTGAAATCCGTATGGTTCATGTATTTAACTTCGTACGGTTCTGGTTTTAATCGCGCTTCTCTTGTTACTTTCACGTAGTCCGTGGGTAGTTCAATTTCCCGATTATGAAACTTCACATATTTCCTTCTGGTTTCTCTCTTTTCCATCAAACTTGCTACATATATCTATCTGTTTTTGCTCCCAAGACATATCAGTCCAAAATTTTTTAAAAATCGACAAGCGCTCTTCATGAGTTATAATATTACAGTGTCTCTTTTTGTATTTCAAGCACTTCATGGAGGAGCAAGCTGGACCTAAGCTTCTGCATTGCGTTTCGCTATTGTGTAGTATTTGACCAGTTTTACTTCGACTATATCCTAGATAATCCTTGCCTTCCATTCCGTTACGTTTTGTCTTTTCCCTAGCCCAATGAATATTTTCAGGTTTCCTTTTTCTCTTGATTTCTTCTGTCGTTCAAGTTCTTGTCCATCGGTACAATTTTCGTCTTCAGTATCAATAAAGTCTGAATCAAATTCGTCAAGTTCATTTTCTTTTTCCATTTCATACTCCCGATCAGCATCCTTTGAGACAGACTGGTCTTGTCTTCTAGCTGCTGCATTCATTTCTCCATATAAAAGTTCACTTGATGTTTGCAGGTTTTGAAACAGATTGGGAAGCTATATCAGCATAACGTAGTTGGGAAACGTTGTTCTCGCCTGAAGCTGCAATTGGAAAAACTGTACTTCCGTCCGCATGCTTAGATGGTGACACATGTTCAGCATTATGTACCAATGCGTCTATGATATCTACATTCATATCATTGTAACTCAACGTTAGTGGGAGAACAGAGTCAATTTCAGAAATTCCTTTCGAAAATCCATCATTAGTCATATTTTCAATAATAACATCTTCATTTGTAAAAATGATTGAATGTGTAAGCGCTTCTTCTAAAACCTGGCTGTTTTTATTCGTTTCCAAAGCAGCGGCCAGAATCCTTTTACTTCTGCTTGACATCTATAATGGAACAAAGCTATAAGATACTAACGGCTGGATGAGGTTCCTATAAATTCCGAAAAGTTGTATTTAATTTAGAACTATACATCTTGGCAATTTACTTGAACTTGAAGTAAGCATTTTGGCAACAGCGCTTTTCAAATATAAATTTTATAAATTAGGAAATACGAAGCAAGGACATTTTAATGTTTCGTCGATTCTTTCGCTAAATGCTTGGAATAGTAATAAACAATAACTCGTATCATCCAACTACAAAAAGAATTACAATGGGACATAATTTGAGATAAACACGTATCATCAAGTTTGAATAAAAACGGCTTGTTTATTCAAAGTATTGCTTAATTACTCAAACAAGACTAATAAATGACATGTTCAGTATATTAACGCTAATATATACTACTCTAATTATGATAATTATCAACGTACGTTTGCTAAAATCAGCTTATTCCTCTAACTTGTCGCAGCGTGATGCGCACTTCGTAAGGACCACGTCTAAACTGCTGTTCATACGAGGTATTTTTTCAGCTAACTTTGTGGATGATGTTACGCGGTATTCTTTGAAATGAAATAGCTCGTTTCTTATTGGTTAAACTGATACGTGGTTTTTATAGACGGTGTGCAATACTGCTTACTTTTTATTTATGCTAGAATCTCAATTTCAGCAAATTTGATGATACGTGATATTACAATTAGGATAACGATATCTAAATCGGATCATTCAACCTAGAATCTTAATATTTTACAAAACCTCATACTTCTATAGGTACTTTCCAGGAAAAAAATAAGCTTGATCTGAAATATAACCCACCAAACCAAGTCGTGGAATTTTAGTTTTATCATATATATATATATATATTTTGATGATATAAATATTTTGAAACTTTCCATTACAATGTGTATTGAAAAAAGAAACATACAGTGTAGCATAACATACACTATAGATCAAATTTTGTGAATTGACCTAAATATATCTTAATCCTAAAGTTGATAGTTTGTGAGATGCAGGGCATCAAAGTTACAATTTTATTTTCTATTTTTCCTTTTTGCTTGAGAAGTATTTTAGATTTTGACATAAAACTCGGTATAGGGAGGTTTTCTAGTATAAGAAACAAAAATTCAATATTGTTCTTGGGCAAAGTTATACAGAGCGACAGTTGTAGTACTATTTCGGTCAATAACTTATCATAACTTTTTTGCTACTCTGTATACAACTAAACAAAAAATCTTATTTTTCCGTATTTTCACAACAAAAAAGACTTGTTTGAAATGTCTAAAGCTAATAGTTTTCGAGATATTTGTTTTTTAAAGTTCCATTGTATTGTTTATACCATGATGATACATCATTTTTATAACATAATAGTCAAATTGTTTTATACAATATGTGAGTAGCATTGCTATGATTTTTAACAATAATAAATGAAGATGGCAACAAAACTACTAAACGAAAATAATAACTACAAAAGTTGTTCAAAATGAGCACTACCTTATCTAACACACTTTCAAATTCGACAAACTAATCCTTGCTACATTCTCCAAAACGTCGATACTATTTTTCATTTCCTAACTATGGTAGAACATTTTTTGTTGAAGATCATCTACAATTTCCACTAACGTATTGTAAATGCGTCGTTTTAAATAACCCTAGAAGAACATTTCTTCTATATAAATTAATTTGAAATTGTACTTTTTGGCAAGTTTATATTATTTCATGAGGATATATTGCATACATGTAAAGATTTTGCGAGTTAAGAGCTATGTACAAATTTCTATCCTTGCGGTTTCTTCATCCGCTCTTAAACCATATACTTTTTGCAAGTGGTATGTATGGAACATTTGGAAACTTGATATTCTCGAACTACATTCCCAACCTCAACTGTACAATTTTCAAAGACAACATCTAAAACATTTTCTTCAATTTCAGCTGTACGTACAATTTTGAGAGCTCCAGTATGTTGGCCCATACTTCGAGCAAATTTAACTAAAATGCAAATGGTATTTACTACTCAAAATAAGACTATAATCATTTCTTATCAGTTTCTCGTAACCACTGATCGTTTCGTTGGAATATCTTTGAATTAGGCAAGTGACTATTAGAGAATCTGTCAGCGTACAATCTTCGTGCTTTTAAACCACTACATTTTACTAATCCATATATTAAATTCTCATCAGAATATTCATCAAACCTATATTCCATGATGGTAAACGTTTTATTGTCAACTTAAAATTATTCATAGACCTTAAAATAATCTTATGCCGAACATTAGAAACCATAGCAACGCTACCCAGATATTATCTAAAGCAACTTTATTATTATGTTGTAAAAATAATTTATCATCATAATACAAATAATGCATTGGTATTTTTAAAAATTACTTTTTACACTTTTCACTTTACACTTCTAACTGTTGTTAAAATAGCACAAAAAAGTTATGATGATTTATTTACCGAAATAGTACTGTATGTGGCGCCCTCAAAAAGTTTGGCCATAAAAAATAACGAATTCTTGTTTCTTATAGTAGAAGACCTCCCTATACCGTGTTTTATGGCAACATCTGAAATACTTCTCAAACATTAAGGAAAAATAGAAAATAAAATTGTAACTTTGACATCCTGTATCTTGCAAACTATCAACTTTTAGATTGAGATATGTTTAAGTCAATTCACACATTTTGGTCTGTAACATATCCAGTTTCGAGATTTCCCAACCTTTCCCAGTATATATTTCATATCTTACTTGTATCTTTTTTACAATACTATTTATTTTATTCATATACAAAGAACAGTTATATATTAGACACCAATTATTTCATTTTTTTAAACCACTTATAATATTAATAAATTCGTTATCCCTTCCATAATGAATTTATTTTTCTTTACAGGTACAGGGAGAAATAAGACATTATATATCAAATGTTTCAACAAATATTTCTAATGAACGCAGACAATACGGCAATCTATATTTTTTGGATACCGAACTGGCAAATCAGCTTCGGTCTGCTGGCCCACAAAATCGAACGGAATTAAATCGAGAAACCGTCGATGTTATTTCTAATTACATGCACAGCCACAATCCTTTTGCTCAAGCGTATAGATTTCTTAAAGATGTCTATCAGGAACAACAACATAACAATCGTCAACTAACTTTAGAATTGTACATCAATAACAACCGTGCTCGGGATATTAATTTTAGACAATATGGCGCAGTACAAGCGAATGAAATAGCAGCCGTATTTATTTCTGAAGATGGAAGACCGCCCCTGGATCGTTGCTTACATGTTTATTGTCGAGACAACGATCAAATCATCCACGAATTACCATATCTTAGTGTTAACTGCGACGCAATGACATATCCCCTATTACATCCAAGAGGTGAGCCAGGCTGGCAATCTGGAACAGCGCATCAACGTAGAAGAGGTGATGTATCTTTACTGGAATACTACAGTTTTAGAATAGCTGTTCGACCAGATACTTTCAACCAATTTGTAATGGCAGGCAAGCTGACGCAACAGTACATCGTAGATGCATACGTAAAAATAGAACAGAGTCGATTACAATTTATTACTGAAAACCAACCACGCATCAGGCAAGAAATATTCCAAGGACTAATCGACTATTTAGACTCTAGACAACTTGATGTTCACTATCAACCAGGCAATATTTTCATCCTACCGTCAACATTCATAGGAAGCCCACGCGCATTTAGACAAAATTATTTGGATGCCATGTCTATAGTCACAAAACATGGGAAACCAGATATTTTCCTAACATTTACTTGCAATCCTGTTTGGCCTGAAATTAGGAATAACCTAGATACAAACCAACATTCCTCAAATAGGCCCGATTTTGTTTCGAGGGTGTTTAAGAGCAAATTGAAGGAATTAATAGAAGATATTGATAAACGACATGTCATGGGAATTTGCGTTGCTTACGTTTACGTGATAGAATTTCAGAAAAGAGGCCTTCCTCATGCGCATATGTTGATTTGGTTGGAAGGATCAGATAAAATCTTGGACTCTGCAGCAATCGACCGTTTAATTTCAGCAGAATTTCCCGACCCTATCACGCATCCCAACTTGCACGAATTGGTCAAAGTACATATGCTTCATGGACCTTGTACTGCTGCTCGATGCTTAGATGACGAAGGACAGTGCAGCAAACAATTCCCGAAATCTTTGCGTGAAGATACATTATACAATTCCTCTGGATATCCGCTATATAAAAGACGGCCAATAGAAGTACCTATACACATAGGTAGAAGAACAGTAGATAACGGTTGGGTTGTACCATACAATGCTTATCTACTTGAAAAATACGAAGCTCATATTAACGTAGAGGCTTGTTCTTCAATAAAAAGCGTGAAATATTTATTTAAATATATATATAAAGGATTTGATAGAGCTCAAATTGTCGTGCGAACTGTAGAGGAACAAGACGGTCAAACAACAACTATTCAGGAACCTATATACAACGAAATTCAAACGTTCATGGACGTTCGCTATGTTAGCGCACCTGAGGCAATGTGGAGAATTTATACATTCGAAATGCACGATATGTCTCATGCTATCATCAAACTTACTGTACATCTTCCCAATATGCAACAAGTCTATTTTAATACAAATAGTACCATCCCTGACGTTGTAGAAAGAGCCGCAACACAACACACTACGCTAACAGGATGGTTCGCTTTGAATGTACAAGACGAAGAAGCTAGGCAATACACTTACGTACAAATACCTTATAAGTATGTGTGGAAAATAAGTCAAACAAGACATTGGGTAAAACGTCAACGAAATTTTGATCGTTTAATTCCTAGGTTATATTTTGTTCATCCTAGAGAAGGTGAACGATTTTATCTTCGTCAACTTCTTTTGCATAAAACAGGATGTAGATCATTCGAAGACCTTCGAACTGTACATGGCCGTACGTACGAAACGTTCCGTGACGCTGCTATTGCGATGAACCTTCTCACGGACGATAGCATTTGGTTTTCTACTTTGCAAGAGGCTATACGCGTAGAAATTCCACGAGCTCTTCGCCGTATGTTTTCACAAATGTTACTTTTTTGTGAAATCGAAAATCCGTTAGCATTATGGGAACAATTTAAATATCATTTATCCGAAGATTATATACGACGCTTAAATAATAACGAACTAGCCTACAACTATGCTTTGGCTTACATCAATCGATATCTAACACTACAAGGTTAGTATTTCTATCAATAATTAGTTTTATTAATTCATTTAAAATTGATGCCTATGTTTTCAAATAACTTTTTATTTTTACTTTACATTTTTTCCGTATTCGAAATTTTTTAAATTTAATCATTTTCTAGGTAACACTACCGTGCTAAAAAAATATGAATTAATTCATTACGTCAATATCTTTAACACTATTAATTTAACATAACATAATACATTTTTTTATTTCAATCGATCTTATACCTATATTACATTATTTTAAAATAATATTAATGTGATAAGTAATTTCCCAGTATAATTATATAATATTTGTTCAATCACATACATTTTTATTTTTAGGCAAATCAAATAGAGACTTTCAACTACCCTTACCCACTGAACCAGTAGAACACCTAATCGAAGATGAATACAATTATGACCAAGCAGACGAACAACAAATTGCTAATAGGAACATTCCTCTGTTAAACCAAGAACAACGCCTTATTTTTAACGACATACTTTTGGCCCTAAACGAAAACGAAAGGGTTCCACATCGTCTATTTTTTATTAACGGAATTGGAGGTGCAGGAAAAACATTTCTGTTGAATACACTACTGGCTTACTTACTAGGAAATAATCACCGTTATATTGCTATGTGTTATACTGGCATCGCAGCCAGCTTATTGAAAAATGGCCAAACGATTCATTCTTCTTTTATGTTACCGGTTCCATTTCTAGAAAATTCAACGTCGAGGATTCGCAATCAGAGTACGATTGCTGATAATATTAGATATTCAAAAATTATTGTCATTGATGAAATATCTATGGTACATAAAAGTATATTCAATGAGATAGATAGAAAGACAAGAGAAATAATGAACAATGACATTCCATTTGGCGGCAAGATTATCATAATTCTAGGTGATTTCAGGCAATGCGCACCTATCGTTCCGTTGGCAGGCAAAAATGAAACTATTTCTGCATCAGTGAAATGTTCCCAACTATGGCAATACTTTGTTCAGTACGATCTTGTTACGAACGTTAGAGCATTGCCACAAGAAAACGAATTCAAAGATTGGCTGATGACCATAGGAAATAATTCCGAAATTTTACGTCGCTTAGAAAATAGCAGAGACACTATAGTTAAAATTCCTAATCGTATCATTGTAGAAGATGTTACTGAAAGCATATACGGTAGTAATTTAACTGAACACGATTTCACATTATTACAAAAAGCGATTTTGTCTCCACTAAACATTCATGTCAAGGATATCAATTCAGTTGTTTTAGAAAAACTGCCAGGTAGGTCACGGCAATACCTAAGTGTCGATAGTATTATCCGAGAAGACGATACAACCGAAAATGCTGCTGATGATTTAGATTCCGCATGGCCGCAAGACTTTTTAAATTCTTTGGATGCTCCAGGACTTCCTCCCCACATACTTACACTAAAGATTGGCGCAGTTATCATTTTAACGAAGAATTTAGATGTGAAGAGAGGCTTATGTAACGGCACACGTTTATTGATTCATAATTTACACGAAAATTTTATAGAAGCGAAACGAGTGGAAGAATCTAATAATGAACCTTCGATCGAATTTATTTCCAGAGTTGATAATATCGCTCTAAATTCTCTTGATCTACCAGTCAACTTGAAAAGGAGACAATTCCCTGTACGTCTGGCTTTTGCAATGACAATTAATAAAAGTCAAGGTCAAACTTTGAACAGTGTCGGCTTATTTTTACCAGTAACAGTATTTGATCACGGACAACTGTATGTTGCACTATCAAGAGCAAGAAGTTTTGAAAACCTCAAGATTCAAATGATAAATATAGGTGACCGTCAACATGTAGCTGAAACTCCAAATAATCACTCTTACACTGTTAACGTAGTATATAATGAGCTATTGCAAAGCAGCATAATCCAGTAAAATGAAGAGAAATAATAAGAAATTCTTTCTTGGACAAATATACAATATGGAATGTAGATATATTTCAAAGACCATTGTACTCAAGCGCTACAAATGCAAATAACATAAGGAAATAGAAAAGGTTGATCTAACTATAAAGTACAACATAAATGGTAGTGGAGGAACCATAATTTCACAAGCAAAATCATGTTACCATATGCTATTCTGTGTATTCATACTTACTACAATACTAATGGGTCAAATAAGGACTTTTATGTAAGTTATACAAAATATTTTTCACAAATATTCTTCTGAACATCTTATTGTACATTTTAATCCCTTTTTTTAGATGAATCGTTAAAAAAATAAACTATGCAAGGAATATGAACGATGAACCTACAAGCTACAAACTACAATATTAATACTGAAAAAAGGATGCATAGTTTGCAACAACAGATGGAGATAGTCCGAGAAACTTTTCAATACAAACTGCAGATTAGACCATCAACAATCTTTCCATTTTTAGCTTTATTTTTCAGTTTATTTAAAATTATACAATATGGAATGTAGATATATTTCAAAGACCATTGTACTCAACCGCTACAGAAGCAAATAACATAAAGAAATAGAAAAGGTTGATCTAACTATAAATTACAACATAAATGGTAGTGGAGGAACCATAATTTCACAAGCAAAATCATGTTACCATATACTATTCTGTGTATACAATACTAATGGGTCAAATAAGGACTTTTATGTAAGTTATACAAAATATTTTTCACAAATATTCTTCTGAACATCTTATTGTACATTTTAATCCCTTTTTTTAGATGAATCGTTGAAAAAATAAACTATGCAAGGAATATGAACGATGAACCTACAAGCTACAAACTACAATATTAATACTGAAAAAAGGATGCATAGTTTGCAACAACAGATTGAGATAGTCCAAGAAACTTTTCAATACAAACTGCAGATTACACCATCAACAATCTTTCCATTTTTAACTTTATTTTTCAGTTTATTTAAAATTATACAATATGGAATGTAGATATATTTCAAAGACCATTGTACTCAACCGCTACAGAAGCAAATAACATAAAGAAATAGAAAAGGTTGATCTAACTATAAATTACAACATAAATGGTAGTGGAGGAACCATAATTTCACAAGCAAAATCATGTTACCATATACTATTCTGTGTATACAATACTAATGGGTCAAATAAGGACTTTTATGTAAGTTATACAAAATATTTTTCACAAATATTCTTCTGAACATCTTATTGTACATTTTAATCCCTTTTTTTAGATGAATCGTTGAAAAAATAAACTATGCAAGGAATATGAACGATGAACCTACAAGCTACAAACTTCAATATTAATACTGAAAAAAGGATGCATAGTTTGCAACAACAGATGGAGATAGTCCAAGAAACTTTTCAATACAAACTGCAGATTACACCATCAACAATCTTTCCATTTTTAACTTTATTTTTCAGTTTATTTAAAATTATACAATATGGAATGTAGATATATTTCAAAGACCATTGTACTCAACCGCTACAGAAGCAAATAACATAAAGAAATAGAAAAGGTTGATCTAACTATAAATTACAACATAAATGGTAGTGGAGGAACCATAATTTCACAAGCAAAATCATGTTACCATATACTATTCTGTGTATACAATACTAATGGGTCAAATAAGGACTTTTATGTAAGTTATACAAAATATTTTTCACAAATATTCTTCTGAACATCTTATTGTACATTTTAATCCCTTTTTTAGATGAATCGTTGAAAAAATAAACTATGCAAGGAATATGAACGATGAACCTACAAGCTACAAACTTCAATATTAATACTGAAAAAAGGATGCATAGTTTGCAACAACAGATGGAGATAGTCCGAGAAACTTTTCAATACAAACTGCAGATTACACCATCAACAATCTTTCCATTTTTAGCTTTATTTTTCAGTTTATTTAAAATTATACAATATGGAATGTAGATATATTTCAAAGACCATTGTACTCAACCGCTACAGAAGCAAATAACATAAAGAAATAGAAAAGGTTGATCTAACTATAAATTACAACATAAATGGTAGTGGAGGAACCATAATTTCACAAGCAAAATCATGTTACCATATACTATTCTGTGTATACAATACTAATGGGTCAAATAAGGACTTTTATGTAAGTTATACAAAATATTTTTCACAAATATTCTTCTGAACATCTTATTGTACATTTTAATCCCTTTTTTTAGATGAATCGTTAAAAAAATAAACTATGCAAGGAATATGAACGATAAACCTACAAGCTACAAACTACAATATTAATACTGAAAAAAGGATGCATAGTTTGCAACAACAGATGGAGATAGTCCGAGAAACTTTTCAATACAAACTGCAGATTACACCATCAACAATCTTTCCATTTTTAGCTTTATTTTTCAGTTTACTTAAAATTATACAATATGGAATGTAGATATATTTCAAAGACCATTGTACTCAACCGCTACAGAAGCAAATAACATAAAGAAATAGAAAAGGTTGATCTAACTATAAATTACAACATAAATGGTAGTGGAGGAACCATAATTTCACAAGCAAAATCATGTTACCATATACTATTCTGTGTATACAATACTAATGGGTCAAATAAGGACTTTTATGTAAGTTATACAAAATATTTTTCACAAATATTCTTCTGAACATCTTATTGTACATTTTAATCCTATCAGCTACGACTTATTTACCAAAAACCATATCATATTTATAAGATATAAACAGTTTTGTTGACAAAAAATGTATGTCCATTTACGTTTTTTAGATGAATCGTTGAAAAAATAAACTATGTAAGGAATATCAACGATGAACCTACAAGCTAAAAACTACAATATCAATACTGAAAAAAGGATGCATAGTTTGCAACAACAGATGGAGATAGTCCGAGAAACTTTTCAATATAAAATGCAGATTACATCATCAACAATATTTCCATTTTTAGGTCTATTTTCAGGTTATTTAAAATACTAAACAACAAAACAATATATGAAAAAGCAAAACCCCACTTGATTAATGAGCATCCAATATTAGATCACAAAAATTACGAAACGCTCACATTTGGAAGGTCTAAAAATCTGGGATTATATGTTGTCTGCTATTTACCATAATGCTAATGTAACAGAAACAGCTTGGAAAAATAAACCTTATAAAGAAGAAAAACTCGACTTAACCATAAACTGCAATATTAATGCTGAGAAAAAGACAACTTGGAAGCAAACTATAATAGGAAAAGATGACAATCAATCATGTTTTTCCAAAAACAGATGGAAAATGCAATCTATATCATCTGCATTTTCTCCATTTTCAGGTTTCTCTTTCAGTAAAATTAAAATTACAAAACAAAAGACACAACAGAAAGAAAATCCACTTAAATAGTGTTTACGCATTATTATAGCAAACCATATATCTATACAATTACAGAATGGATACTAATGTCTGAAACATCTGACGTAAGTTTCTTTGATATAAGATATTGTTCTGAAAACATTCATGTACATTATTTTAGTGGTATCAACTATATTTTTTCACAAACACAGATATTAAATATTTCTAAGAATCTGACATTTTAACAAAAAGTCCTGCATTATAATTTTTTTTTCAGATGACATGATGGAAAATGAAATCATATGAAAAAGGGATATGATCTACCTAGATAATTTTTGCAATATGAATACTGGAAGAAGAATAACTTAGGAAACATAGTCTAATGAGAAACAATAATAAACACTGGCAATCATTTTTTGCGAAAATAGATGGAAAATACAATTTTCCGTTACCAATTTTTTTCAGTATACTTGAAATTATAGAACAAGGAAACAAAAAAATCAATGAAATAAATAACAAACAAGAGAGCGAAGTAACTTAGATGATACATTAAAGTTTTGGTAAATGGTTTTTTTTTGGTACAAATTAAGAAGCAAATTTAATGTATGCAAGGATTATAAAAACACCTAATTCAACAACCATTTACCATTTGTTCAATTAAATATTTATTTACTTATTTAGATTTCCTTTTTTTCAGATATATATTATTCATAGTCGTTTTGTATTTGTTTTCAATTTTTGAATAATCAGATTTTACGTTTAATTTTTGTGCGTCTTACAGTTTCATTTTTTTTTCTTTTTGTAATAAGTATTTATCATTTTATTGAAACTGAAAGACGGGTGGAAGGAGGGTGGGACTCGACTTGCAGCTACCTCCGCGCGGTGAGTCCTGGGTAGTCCGAACATGGACTAGCTGAGAGCTGCAAATTAATCCTTTTCATCTAACATTAATCAGTTACAGATCACTGTTTTAATTATTTCTGTTTAATGATGATAAATGTTGAAAAATGTTGATGTGAATTCTACTTTGCAACCTGTTCAGAAGTAGAAATTGTCACGCCACTATGGACGATCTCTCTACAAAGAAATCAACAATATTCCTCGCAGTCCCTGTCCGCTGTATTGATAATAAACTATAGATAAAGGATAACTTTAAAAGCAAA